AAAAGTGCACTTGACTGACTTATAGTCAAGTGAGGTTAGGTTGATGACCATGACTGACTTATTGTCAAGTGAGGTTAGGTTGCTAATGAATGAAAAAAAACTTGACACACATTGACATGAATTAATTTTTATTAGAATTGAATAATTTTTGATATATTTAATAAAAGTTCGATTTAAGAACATTTTTGATTGTTATAACAAATTACTAATATCAATAGAAATCAATAAAAATTATCAGTAAATTTCGTTTTTGTTTGCATTAATCACAGCGCTCAAAATTCGAATTCGAATTACGGAAAAGGTAATTTTTTTTTGACTATCATTTCGAACGTAATGCGTTTTTCATTCGAACAGCAAAAAACAAACAAGTTTATAAAGTGTAAGTTTTTTTCGAAAAAAACGAGTTACTTTTAAAATATAAATTTGCAACAGGATCATCATCCAAATGAAGCTCCACCTTTTTGTTTGCACCTTTCAATGCATTAAATCGTTCCACCCCCAAAAAATGGGTTCTAACCCTGACACATGCATAGAAAGGTCCTAGCCACCACCACCACACACCATACTTGAATAGCTTTACCACCACCACCCCCTCAAAGTTATTGAAAAAAATGAGCATATCATGTATGGCGATGTGATGTGATGTTTGGTAAAAAGGAAAAAAATGTGAGCCACATTGATTTCTATTACCTAATATCAATTGTCAATTTTATAATTCTTTTTGAAGAAAAACAAACAAATTTTTTTTCTTTTAAATTGAATTTTTGAAATTTTTTTTGTGTTTCCATAGTTGTTGGTTTGATTTGATATCAGTTGTTTTTTTGGCATTTTCCTCTGATTTGATTTTTTTTTAAAACCAATTTTATCAAACTAAAAACAATACTATCAATCAAAATCATTCGTTGTTGTTAATGTTGATTTTTGTAGATTTTTATCCCTCACTCATTCACATCCGATATTATTTAATCAAAAAAATCAAATTCGTTTTTTTTCAAATTTAAAAAAAGCAAATTACCTAAATGGTAAGTATTTTGATGATATTTCGTATGATTCGAAATCTCTCATTTCTTTTCGATCAAACGATAGATAAATAACGTGAGATAAGTTCGTTTACCAAATAACGTTGTTTTTTCTTTGGTTGATTTCTTATTCATCACCACCATCAGCAACAACAACAAGTCTGTGTTTTTCGCTCTATTGTCGTCGACAACAACAAACAACATCCAAATAATAATCCTCCCTCAACATTTTTTTCAATATAAACGAGCAAAAACCGAATTTTGCATTAAGGTTATATATTCGCATTGTGTATAGTGTGTGCTTTGTGTTGGTGTTTGATGTTTGTGTGTGTGTATTGCGTTCATTTGATGCCACCATTTGATGAAATGAACTGAATCATCAACAACAACAACATTATCATAATCATTAGCTGAAAATCTACATTTACACCATCATTATTGTGTCTGTTGATTTATTTGGTTTGAATTTTTGCTGGAAAAACAGACAAAAAACAGCAAACAAAAAATCCTGCATATCCTTCTTTCATCAACAACTATACACGCCAAACGGAATCCATATTCATCATCATCGACATCGATTTCCTTTTTCATAATAATCATTTTATAATTGTAGAAAAAAACATATTTTATTTCACGATTCTGCCCTGAATTATTCGAATGTGATTCTGGTGATGTTGTTTGTTTAATTCTGTTGTTCAATTCTCGTTGGTCAACATTTTTATTGTGATTTTCAAAAACAAGTTTTTTCGGGTATTTATTAATTTAATGATTTAACGGCAAATTTTGACAAATATGGTTCGTATTTTTTTGAAATTTTTTTTAACTCGCATCCAATTACCTCTTGTTATTGTATTTTAGTTGGCATAACAAACAAAAAACCTCAACATTGCAATAATCATCATCGATATTAAAAATTGATTAATAATCTCCGAATTCCGGTCATCAATAATAACCAAAAGAAAATCACCACCATATCGCGTTTGTTTGTTGATAAGTTGTATTTATAAAAAAACTAAATTATTTAACTGATAATTAATTAATTGAAAACAATGAGAGAATATAAGATTGTTGTTCTTGGTTCGGGTGGTGTTGGTAAAAGTGCACTTGTAAGTTTCATTAGTGATTAGATTTTTTAATTTTGATTATTTTTAATTATTTTTTTGTTTTTCTGATTTCATCATCCACATAACAGACTGTCCAGTTTGTGCAAGGTAATTGCTTTGTTTTTTTATTTTTTAAAAATAGTAATATTCAATGAATTTGATTTGATAGGAATTTTTGTTGAAAAATATGATCCAACAATTGAAGATAGTTATCGTAAACAAGTTGAAGTTGATGGCCAACAATGTATGCTTGAAATACTTGATACAGCCGGAACGGTAAGTTGAATTTGCCCTTATGATGAATTGTAATGCATATTGAAAATGTTGATTTTACAGGAACAATTTACAGCAATGCGTGATCTATATATGAAAAATGGTCAAGGATTTGTATTAGTTTATTCCATAACAGCACAATCTACATTCAATGATTTACAAGATCTTCGTGAGCAAATATTACGTGTTAAAGATACTGATGATGTACCAATGATATTGGTTGGTAATAAATGCGATCTTGAAGATGAACGTGTTGTTGGTAAAGATCAAGGTGCCAATCTAGCACGTTCGTTTAGTAATTGTGCATTTCTGGAATCATCAGCTAAAGCCAAAATTAATGTTAATGAAGTATGTTTCTATCATAATTATTATTCTGTTCATTTTATAATTTTCCTTTAGATTTTCAATGATCTTGTTAGGCAAATAAATCGAAAAAATCCGGAAAAAAAGCAAAAACCACCACGCAAAAGTAAATGTAATATTCTGTAAAAGACATGTACGAAACGAACGAAAACCATAGAGAATCTTTTTATGAAGGAACGAGTAAAGAAAAAAACACCGCCAAAATCATCAATTTTATCCTGAATTTTTTCAATTTATAAATAAAATTCATTCATCATTTCAAAACGTAACAAAAAAGTGAAAATAAGATGAAAAATGACAAAATCAAACAACATTTCACAGACATAACCCCATCGCCTATATTATAAAATTGGTTATAAGCTTAATTTCTTTTTCAAAATTATCAAATTGTTTTTTGAATTCATCATCGTCATCACCTGTTTTTGCTTCATACACACTTGACACTTATATTTTTTGTTTTTTTCCCGTCGTGTGTGTGTGCGTTCATTCAATGTCAATGTCAATTCATCAAATTTTCTTTATTTGTAAATTTTTTCTTTTTTTTCATTATCAATTTTAAATTTTTCCACTCTCACACACACATTGGAAATTGTGAACACATTTTATTTTATTTTTTTTTTTTTCAAACAAAATTAATCCAAAATATCCTAAAAACATTCATTCATTCAAAGAAAAAGCCAAAATTTCAGAAAATTCTGTACTTTTTTCCGAAAACATTTTATTTATTTTTGAAATTTTTTAAAACTGCGAAAAAACTGGAAAAGGTTGGAGATTGACACAAAAACCAAAAAGAAAATGAAAGAGAATCCAATTTGTAGAATATATATCAAACACATGACAAACACCTAAATGAAAAAATATCAGAAAAAACTTTTTCAAAACACATCACTTTAATAATTTTCTTTTTAAATAATTAATTTTAAAGATTTTTTTCTTCGAATTGTGTAACGTTTGCAAAGAAATTTGATTGATTTATAAATAATTAAAAATTGAATTAAATTAATTATTTAACAAAATTTTCATCTCTTTTGAAAATGATTGATTGTATTTGGCTTTTGGTGAATTTTCCGCACTTTTTAATCGGAATTTGCAATGTCATCGAATTGAATGCGACAATTAATGATGATGATTATCATTACCACATTTACTATGGATCATTGCCATCATCATCATTATCATTATGATGACAGGAGATTTATATTTTTAAAACATTTTTGTGTTTTGTTTTAGACAAAAATTGGTGCAAAAAGAGTGTCGTGTTTTTTCTACTTTCGATCCACCCACATTCCAAACATTCTTTTTTCTTTTTTCTCTCATACACAATGGTAATGGTCACAATCATGCACACACGTTATTTCCAATTATAGTGTGTTGAATTGTGACTACAACTTTATTCAATGTGGGAACAAAAAAAACCGACAATGATGATGAGCCATCAAGTGGTGTGTGTGTGTGGCAGCTGCTGCTGCTGTTTCAATGGATAATATTCTCCTCTCCAAAAATATTTTTGTATGTATTCCCCATTCAAAGATTCGGCAATTTGTTGTTATTATTGTGATGCGCGCTCTCAAAACTTTCAATCAAAAAAAACAAAATAGAGATTCTCTGCTAAATTCTTGACATTATTTTGAATTGATTATGAGTGATGAATGAATGAATAACAACAATAACAATCAATTTCCCAATCAATCAATCGTTTTTGAAACAAAAATAAACAAAAAATGATGATGATGATGAATAGAAATATCACCAACAACAACACGTGTCAATTACAATCACAACAACAACAAAAATCCCAACAACAACAACAAATGATTGTTGATCGAACAAAAAATCCGATTAAAAATACCACCATTCATATGATGAATGGTAATGAAATTTATTCAAGTAAGTTTTTCACTTTATAGCCAAAATTGATGATTGCAACCCAACAAATTTTATTTTCTCATCATAGATTATACGGTAAAACAACAGCAACAGCCATCGCAAACAACAACAACATCATCTGGTAGCGAAACAGATATATCAACATCGACGGAAAATTTATCTGCTGAAGAACATTATGTACTGAAAACAACAATTCGACAAGAACCACAAGGTGAAGAAACATTTTCCGATATTGATTATCATTCACAATCCAAATCACAATCATCAACATTAACTAATAATACATTGATTATACATGGAAATAATTCATTAAATCAATCGATCAATTCTTATTTATTGCCATATTTTTATGATCAACAATCAACAACAACACCAACATCGACAACCGCAACAAATGATTATCATTCGATTCTTAATCAATCAATCAATTTTATCGACAATCAAAATCAATTATTAAGTTTAAACACTAATAATAATAACAATAATTTTATCAAATTAATGATCAATAATGATAACGATAACCCATATTCGAATATTAATTTATTAAAATTTAATAATAATGTTAACTATCTTAATTCATCACCTGATTATCAACAAACAACAACAACAACAGCATCATCGACTGCAACTAAAACAACATCCATCAATTCTATTGCTGCATGTAATCCACAGCTATTTATCAATAGTAATAATAATAATGATTCTGTGATAAAATTTCAGTCATCATCACAAACAACAACAACAAATGATAATATGATGAACCCGAACAACAATCAATCAGCTGCTGCTGCAATTAATCTTCAACAACCAATGCTAAATGATTACCTTAATTCACTGAAAAAAGATGATTCCTTAATGTTTAAAAATTTTAATCTGGATAATCTTGTTGTTGATAATAATAATCTACCTCTTTCATCCGTATCCGCATCATCTGCATTGATACCGAATTCAAATATTCAACATCAATATGAAAAATCTTGTAATCTGGCGACAACAACCGCAAACGCAACACCATTTCATCATCAAATGAATGATGGAGTTGGTCAAAAATCACTGGAAAGATTTTCAATATCACGTTCACATCCAGATTTATCAAAATTTTCCGATGAGGATTTGATTCAAACACCAGCATCTGCTGCTTTGATTGTTAATAATAATCGTAATAATCATACCGGTTCATTTCATCATCAAATCAATTTGAATAAATCAAATCATTATCATCAACAACAACAACATCATCATACCATTGATTTATTATTGCTGGAAAATACACAATTACGAAATGAATTAGATTCATGCTACAAAAAGATACAAAAATTTCAAAAAGTAGAATCAGAAATACAAAAAATCTATCGGTCATATGATGAATTGATGCAAAGTTCGGAAAAAAAGGAAAAATTTGAACGTGAAGCTAGATATAAATTGGAGATTGAAGTGAAAAAATTACAAAAACAAAATAAATCTCTTCAAGGTATGTTTTTTCTATTTTTGATTTTTTCTTATTAAATTTTTTTTGTTTGAAAAAATATAGAACGGTTGGATTCGAATGGCACGAAAAAATCGGTAATTTTTTTCGATTGATTTGATTTGTTTTTTATTAATTTTTTTCATTATCATTGTAGAACTATGAAGAATCTGATTTTGAAAAAGAACTGAATAAAAGAGGAACATTAATTTCTTATCTGTTGATGAAAAGTAAGCTATATCAAAGAAAATCCATCGATTGATTGATTGACAATTTTTTTTCAAAAATTTTCACTTTGACAGATAAAGAATTGATTAATTATAAAGAAAGACAAGAAATTGAATTAGAAGCACAACGATTGACATTACAAGAACAACGAAATCATATTGAAATATTAGATACGGCATTGATTAATGCGCAAAATAATATTATGACCCTTGAGAATGAAGTAAGTGAACAAAACAAATGAACAAAAATCGATATTTTATCATTTGATTCATTACTTTTCTTTTTTGGAAAATAGTTACGTGCCAAACAAGGATGGGAAGAGAAAACATTATTCCTTGAAAAAGCTTTATCCAATTTACAATCAACCAATGAAAGACGGCTGCAAATGGAAAAACGCATACGTACTTATCTGGAAAAAGAATTGGAAAAATATAAAAATATACATACTAATAATCAGAATGGTAATGATGGATCGACAACAACCAACAATCAACAACAGCAACAATCTTCAACGACAACAGCAAATTCAATCGATGAAATAGATACATTGAAGGCATCGATCGTTAATTATGAAAAAAAGATTATCGATCTTGAAGCTGAAGTTTCGAAATGGGAACAAAAATATCTTGAAGAAAATACATTAAGATCGATTGAAGTTAGTGCAGCTTCAGCACCAAAGTATGTTATTCAAACACACAATTTGAATTACATTGACAATATTGATTGATTGATTTTTTTTCTTTTGGATAATTTAATAGAGATGCGAAAATTGCCGCATTGGAACGTACATCGCATGAAAGTGAAAAATTGATTGCCGAAGCACGTAATGAACGTTTAAAACATATGGATGAGATACATATTGCCAATAGAAAATGTGCTGAACTTGAAAGTCAATTGAAAGATTTAAATTTTAAACTGGCCGAAAAAGAAACAATCATTAATGTTTTGCAAAAACATTCGGATGATAGAGATGCTGTATTACAGAAAACATTACGTTTTACGCAAAATGTAACTTCGGCACGACATTCAAAATCGGCCAGTACAATGGGTTTAGTTGTTGGTAATGCAGGTAATACCAATAATCATAATAATGGATCAAATTCGGTAAATAACAACAATAATAATGCTACAAGATCAGCAACAAATTCAGCCACAATTAATTTGGATGAACAAATTAAAGAAATTGAATCATCACAATTATCAAATAAAGTATGTTTCATTTGTTTTTTTTTGTCAAATTCAAAATTTTGATTTTTTTCCTTTTTCTTTTCGTTTCAATTCAGGATTCAATTATCAATGCTTTACGCAATGAAAAGGAAAGATATCCAAATCACTATAATAATTGGAGATTATGAATTTTTGTATTTAGAAATTTTTTTGTTTGTTTTGTTTTGCAATAATTTAAAATATCTAAACTATGTATGTATGTAAACCAGAATCATTGAACTCTTTTTGCTTTAACTGACGAAATTTTGTGCCAAAAAACACACTAACAAATCTATCTATCCATCGATCGAATCTATTTGGAAAAATAAAGTTATTGGATTTTTGAAAAAATAATTAATTCAAAATTTTTTGAAAGCGAAAAAAACAAATCCAAATGAAGGATGATGACGATAACAGTTTGTTTCTCCTCAGTGTTATTATCTGTGTTGAGGAGAAAAAAATTCATTCATTCTCAATGTACATGTATATCATACTTGATTTGATTTAGTCAACATTATCATCATGATGATTGGATTATTTTCTGCTATCGACTGGTTTTTTCTTTCTTTCTTTTGCTTCATTTTATCTTGGATACAATCCTGAATTTTTCGAATAGTTCGAAGATTTCAAACAGTCTAGTTTTTTACATATCTTTTTTTCATAAGAAAATATCTTGGAAAAAATCGATATTTTTCCCAATTGATTGTCGTAAGAGATTGCAGAATTTCATATGATTTTCCTTTGAAAAAGTGCAAAAAAATCACTCAGCAACAACAACAACAAAATCATTTGCTCTGTGTTTGCCTTATAAATAAATTAAATTTGTTACTTGTTCTCAATTTTTGCACTATTTTTGTACGAAGAAAAATGAAATGAAATTTCGTAATATGATAAAACAGAAACAGCAACAAAAATCCTACAATCATCATATTTATAGCGAAAATGTTGATGGTGGAATGATTTGAAATTTGATGTGTGTGTTGTATGTGTGTGTGATATGATGTGATACGATCGAAAAGTTACTCTCATCCGACGACGACGACTACAAATTTATAAAAATTAAAGAACAAGTTTTTCATTTCATATTTAATTTGATTTGAGTTTCGTGTAATTCACAGTTTCCAAAAAAAATTATTAACTTTTCTGAATCATTTGAAAAACTGCACAGAAGACGAAAGAAAATGGCCAAATTAACAGCAACCAAATGTCCATTTTTAAATAAATTTTCATTATCATTTTTGAATAATTATTCTAATGTTTTAATGAATAATTTTTTAAACAAATGTCCACATATGTCCAAACGATTATCATCATCTGATTTTAATCATCCAATGGACCAACCACAACGTTTTCAACAACAACAAATGGCTACAAATACTGATCCAGCAACAAGTGATGATCATGATTCACCGCAAGTTTATCAAAAACATCATTCAAAACCAAGTATGTATCAATCAAACGAAAACAATAATTGATTGGATTTTTTCCAATTTCATAGAAAATCATCCAAACACCAACACTAACATGGAAGGTGATCCATCCCAATGTCCATTTTTCGATATTTTCAAGCCAACATTACAGAAAGCAAGTGACAATGTTGTACAGGATATTTGTGAGGTGAAAAATACAATGGCCAATGTTAAAAGTAAGTTTGTCTGTTTTTTCGGGTACACATGTGATGATGATGATGCATGTTTTTGTTAATCTTGTTATGGATTAATTAATTGAATTTTCCTAATTAAAATCGTTTTTCCTTTCGATAACTATATAGATGAATTTCATTATGAACGTTTTTTTGTTGAACAAATAATGAAAAAGAAAAAAGATCATAGTTATCGCATATTTAAAAAAGTAGCAAGGGATGCTAAAAATTTTCCATATGCAAAAGAATTTAGCGAAAATAACGGCAATAATGATAAACAAATACAAGTTTGGTGTTCAAATGATTATATGGGCATTACTACACATCCTGAAGTTAAACAAGCTATTATGTAAGATATGTTCATTTTTTGTAGGATTATTATTAACTTTTATAATGTTAATAGTGATGCTGTGGAAAAATATGGTTCAGGTAGTGGTGGTACAAGAAATATATCCGGTAACACACCATGTCATTATGAATTGGAAGAAGAATTGGCTCGCCTGCATGATAAAGAATCGGCACTGATATTTACATCTTGTTTTGTTGCTAATGATTCAACATTGTTTACATTGGGAAAATTATTACCAGGTTGTCATATATTTTCCGATGCCGGTAATCATGCATCAATGATACAAGGCATTCGTAATAGTGGTGCGCCAAAACATATATTTCGTACTTGTGATCCAATACATTTGGAGCAATTATTGAAAACTGTTGATTATTCGGCACCGAAAATCGTTGCATTCGAAACTGTTCATTCGATGACTGGTGATATTGCACCAGTTGAACAATTGTGTGATGTTGCACATCGTTATAATGCCCTAACATTTGTTGATGAAGTGCATGCTGTTGGTTTGTATGGTAAATATGGTGCTGGTATTGGTCAACGTGATGATGTTGTCGATAAAATGGATATTATTTCCGGCACATTGGGTAAAGCTTATGGTAATGTCGGTGGTTATATTGCCGGTAATCGTAATCTAATCGATATGATTCGGTCATATGCTGCTGGTTTCATATTCACAACATCATTACCGCCAACTGTATTGAAAGGTGCTATTACAGCTATCAAGGTTGGTGAAAATCAATTAAATGAATTGAAGGAATTTTAAATTTTTTCTATCCAGATTCTTAAAAGTTCGGAAGGACAAATGCTTAGAAAAATGCATCAAGAAAAAGTTGCCTATTTCAAACAATGTTTGAAAAAATATGGTATACCGCAATTGGCAAGTAAAAGTCATATAATACCGATACCGATTGGTAATCCTTATCTAAGTAATTGGATATCGAATGAATTGATGGCACAATATGGTCATTATGTACAGGCAATTAATTATCCTACTGTACGAAAAGGTGAAGAACGTCTTCGTATTGCACCATCGCCATTGCATTCATATGAAATGATTGATCGATTTATTGAGGATTTTGTTCAAGTTTATAAACGTGCCGGATTATTTCGAATGAACGAACAAAATTGGACAAGTCCAACCTGTTCACACTGCAATAAACTTTGGAAAATTGATTTGGATAGTTTTCCGTGTGGAATGGATAAAAAATGTCCATTATATGTTTCATGTTAGTTAAGAAAAAATACATTATTATTAGCCTTATTTTTGTTATAAATTTTTTTCAAATTGAATAAATAAAAATGTCATTGAATTTTTATCTGCCATCACTAGATGTCATGACTAATTTTTGAAATGCAAACTGTTGCGCGTTTGTAAATTTAAATTTTTTTCTTCAATTTTTCATTTGAATTTTTTAAAAAATAAAATAAAAATGACAAAAACAGGGAAAAATCGTGGCTAAATTCGGCCTCAACCAAACGAAAAAAGCAGGTGTAGCAATCGAAGGAATCATCAATGTAATGACAGATAACATGTAGGTCTAATTAATGGCTAAATAGCGAGAAAGAGAAAAAAAATGACGACCATTACCCACCATCAATTATAGATTGGTAATATCTCTCTAATGATTATGGTGATTATCATCATTGAGAAGAAAACCATTCGCGTGTCATCGAAATATCTAGACAAAACTAATGATGATTATTTTCAAATCAATCGAAATGAATGGATCGATTGGATCAGAGCAGAATAGAATTGTACAACACGTGTTAATTTGATTGTTGTTGCTTTCCATCATCATCATCATCATCATTGTCGAATGATGATGAGCAGCTTGTCTGTTGAGTTGCACACAGTTATTCAATCAGTTTTCCAGCCCAGTGATTCTTAAAAATCCAACATTGATAGAATCATCCGTTTAGCTTCATCAAAAAAGCTATCCATATGTTATCCATAATAGATATTCAAAGTTTTTTCTTGCTTTGGTAATTTATTATCATCATTATCATAACCCAACAACAACGGTATATTGCATAAATGTTATTTTGTCCATATGTCTTGAATTTATTTAAAATAAAAGATAACAACATCAGACATGTTACTATGGTATCCATAATCATTATCATCATCATCATGATCAGAACGAAAGAAAAATGACCAAGAAGAAGATTTCTTTTTGGTACGGTTTTTTGGTTGGCCAAAAACCTGTTTGATCAAGCGTTTAATTATGAATTTTTGTTTTGTTTTATTAGCACATATGTCTAATGACATGCCAACAACATGTGTCAATAAAGGTAAAATTGACGGCTGATTATCAGAATTTTTTTTGATCCTGAAACATTATTGTTTGTTTCATCATCATCATCAATGTTTACCCACTGCGTCAACAACCTTGGATCGATCAATTTGGATCAGATCTGAATAGAGAGTAAAGAGAAAGAGAGCCAACCAAATCAAACCAGAGAAACGAAAAGCAACCGAAAAAAAATCTAATGTTTGATGATGATTGGTGACCTGACTGACCTGATATATCAAGCTGACCGGCAGGCTACTTTAAGCGGAAAGGGCTTAACAGCCCAAAAACAAACCGACCGGTCGCTTTATTTGAAAAATTAAGGGGAAAAGTTTTTTTAGTGGGGCAACAACGTATGTCCAATAATGATCGACAACAACAACAAAAAAAAAGAAAAAGTGACGCGTGCAGCAGCTTGCTTGTTTTCTATGGATCATCATCAGGAGATTTTTTCCCAAAATGAATGTTGGCTCGTGTCGCTAACCTCTCTCTTTGGTAGTATAGAATGATGATTGGTTGGTTGTTGATTAAACTAAGGCTAGGTTCTTCCAGGGCATTTTGTTTATTTATTTGATGGAAAAAATGAATGAATAAAAGCCATAAAGTACACCGACACAGGATAATGGATAATGGCTGTTGGATCATTTTGGAACTGAATGAAACGGAAAAAATCCACCAGAACCAAAATTGGACACTTTTTTGGGTGCAACAATTACACATTTCGAAGATGTGAAGGGGAAAAACTACGGTAAATATTGTTATGTTAGAAAGAGAGGAAGAAAGAAATCCAAGCAAACACATTCAGCATTCAACAACAACAGCAGGCAGGTGCGGTCCAAATTTTGTTTTCATAAAAATCATTTTTTCTGAATTGAATTGAATCGAACTAACCAAAGATAAATTTAACAAACCAAACTTGCTTAACTGTGGCTCGTGTGTATGCACAAGCAGCAGCAGCAGCACTTATCGTTACAACGTTTCGTTTCTGTATTGATGGCACGCGACTCTGTTGTTGATAATGTTGATGATGGTGATTGGCAAAAACAGCATTTGTTGCCGCGTTCTTTTCTTTTCATCATCATCGTTATAATCATAATCATCAAATGTTGTGCACGCGTTAGATTTGTTGTTGTTGTTGTTGCATTCACCTTTTGCAAACATTTGGCTGGTTGCTTTTCACCAAAAACAGCCGTCGAATCGAAAAGCAGCAACAGCAGCAGGTTCTCGCAATTCGGTTATATGTTGAGAGAGAGGTCATAATACTAATAAGTTTCATAGAAAATTCAAAACAATTTTCTCAACCAACATTACTGGATCAACAACTTAATGGACTTTCATTAATTCATTATGAAATTTCGCTTTCATTTCACAAATTCGTTTCGCATATTTTTTCAAAAAAAAACTAAAATCCATTTACACAACATTATCACCATTTTCGAAAAAATCACTGTCATTAACAGAAAATCGTTTTAGATAAAACAAACGCTGGATTCATATTGGACATTGCATTTGGATCATCTGATCATGATGGTGACCTCTCACATCATCATCTCGTGTATCGGGTTTTTTCAATTTCAACAAAAAATATGTTTCATTTCACAAAAAAGAAAGATCGTGACACCGATGAGGATGAGGCACGCGTCGTCCATTTTTTCCTTCTTTTTTTTTCATTTCTATAAAAGTCCAACAGAAAACATCTGCCTTTGGACACGTGCAATATGTTTATGACCCTAAGGGTCATCATTGTGATTGACCTGAAATGAAATGAAACTGAACTGAACGGAACGAAAAAAAAAATCGTAAGGAAATTGAACGACCTAACCTCCTCCATTGCCCCATCAAATATGGTTACTTTCCAATGATGGTGGTGTCATTTTATACACAGACGGTCAACAAGAAAAAAATACAGACAGACAAAGATACAGATAAAGATATGGTCTTGATATTGTCTGTAAGGGTTTTGTTTTTCCAAATTTATTTTCTGGTTCATTTTTGACTTTTAAACTTTCTTTTTTTTTGTTTTGGTCACTTGTTGTTGTTCTCCAAGCCATATGTATCCGGCGGATAATGACAGTTTCTAATTTCAATCTTTTTGTTTGGAAAATGTTTCTTTTTTTGGTCTGGTTTGCAAAAGAATTTTGCTGACAAAATGATTTTTTTTTGTTGGAAAAACCAAAACACCAAAGAATCACTATAATCATCATCAAAGTAATGCACCTTTCAGATATTATAGCAAAACAAAAATCTAACCGAAAATTAAACCAGCCGATAAATGTTTGCTAGTTTGATTGACCATGGTTGAATGGCCCCATAGTTTTATTAGAATCGTTGGTTGCACACATACACTATAGTTATAGTCATCATCATTGCAAATTCACACGCAACATTATTGGATTTCGACTGAAAACAAAGTTAGATTTTCCATTTCATTCATTCATCTGATCATTCCTAACGGTTTATAACGGTTTTTTAGTTCCTCTCTCGTGCTTTTCGGATTCATCACATTCAAACAACAAAGCACACACGCGCACCGCACAACGAATCTGTTGTTTGATCCAAAACATGATTCACACGGTCCAAATTTTTATTATTTTTCCCACCAAAACAAATTCATTTCATTTATAATAACCATTAGGAATCTGGGAACTGGTGTGCTTGTTTGAAATGATCCAAAATTGTTTTTTTTTCTCTCGCTATATTGATATAATTCGGGATCGGATAATATGCCTGTTGAATTAATGAGTTTCACATAGACAAATTCGATTCAGGTTTGGTTTTCACCACCATTATCAAACCAGAAAAAAATTTCCCATAATTTCCATCAAGTGAGAATATAAACACTGCTGCTGCTGGTTTTGCTGGTGGGTCATATTATTTGGTTCACATGATGGACCGAAGAATTCAGAATCCCATTAAAAATATTCCAAACGATGAAATAAATAAATATAAATTCCCACCATATAAATGTTTTACGTGGATGTTAATAATAAAAATATTTTCACACAAAACAGACAATATGCCAATTTGAATCATTTTTTGTGGATGATATTCAAATCAACCATATGTGTGCCACATATTGATTAATTGAACGTCAAAAAACAATGGATGGATCATCTTTTTCTCATGAATAAATTAACACACAAACGCATCATCATCAATGGTATTTTGTTTCAACTGAAATTAATCATTAAAAATTTTGATTAATTTTAGTTTTGATTGAATCATCATCATGATCATCATTGATTGTCTGAAACACCTGGTGAAATTTTCATCATAGAAACATTATCCATTTGCAACAATGGTTTGGCTGAAAAAAATATTCAAATCTCAATGAATATTGAACTGCTCAGCGCGTACCGTACTTGATTTGTTGCACGCGTTTTCTCTATTTGAAAAAATCTTTCGTTTTTTGTTTTGTTTGACAAAAACGAGCAATATGAAAACCTGCCCTGGTTTTTTCCTGATTCGTTTGGGCAAATCGTTCACCTGGCCAAGTGTGAAGCAAGCAAGTAAATCATCAACAAAAAGAAAAAGTTTGAAATAAGTTGAATGAAATGAACGCGTGCAAAATGTCTGTCGTTTTCTGACGTTGAATTTCAAAAAAGTAAGATCAGCACGTGCCCAATCAGAAAAGAAAGGAAACACATGGCTCATAACAGAGAAACGGTACCTATTTTTTTGTTTAATATCCCGGATACCTGTAGACTAATACTAATAATGATGATGATTTTTTTCAAACACAAAAATCGAACATATGGAACACAAGATTGAAACACAAGGTGTTTTTCCCAACAACAAAAAAGATCTGCCATTATTATCATTATTGAACGTAGATAATTTTCAAATTTTTTAACAGTATACCCCCTCTCCAGAACAAAAAACTTTTGAACTGAAAGAGTGCACTTTTGCACAGAAAAAAACATATGACATGTTTGTTTGAAGCAGGTAAAATGGTCCAAGACTCAAGGTAACAAAAACTTAGCTAGGTTTTTCATACGGTGAATTCTTCTATTCACCACCGTCAGTCATTCAGTC